TTGCCCTTCAAGTCTGGAATTGAACCCAGTCCTGTGGCTTCCCGCCAAATAAAAAACTGGCATATGAGCTGAACATATACATTAGGTAGATACACTCCTTGGAGAGAACAATCTCTGCAAGAATAGAAAGGCTGTGTATGCACAGGAAGACAGCTCAGGGGTAGATGTGCATGGCTGGGAAGGACACAGGGAAGAAGTAACTATGGGGAGGAAGTGGGAGGGGAGCTGTTGTATTGTGAGAAATTGTAGTCAATGTCATGAGACAAAGTGTATGTGAACTGATGTATGGAAAGTGAATTTTCTCTGTAAACTTTCACCCAAATCACAATAAAAATTAAAAAAAAAAAGCAAAAACAGGAATGCAAACAAATCTGTACATCATGTTCCTTGCAACACTTTTCATAACAGCCAAAGATGGAAACCACCTAAATGTGCATCAGAAGATGAATGGATAAACAAAATGTGCTACATACATATGTTGTTGTTGTTATGTGCCGTGGAGTCAGACCTGAGACAGCATCACTGCAGAAGTAGATTGCCCCATCTTCCTTCCGAGGAGTGGCTGGTGGGTTTGAACCGCCAGCCTTCTGGTTAGCAGTCAAGTGCCTTAGACACTATGCTACCAGAGATAGTGGAATATTATTCACTCATAAAGACAGATAAGAGTCCTAATGCACGCCACAACCGAGATGAACCTTGAAGACATTATGCTGAGTGAAATAAACCAGTTGCAAAAGATAAATCTTGTATGATCTCACATATATGAATAAGCAATCATACAGAAACCAAAGATTGCTAGTGGCTACCAAGGATGAAAAGGAGGAGGAAAGAGTGAGTCAATGCTTACAGGGCCCTGATTTCTATTAATGGTGGTAGAATAATTTGGAAAAGGATAGCAAGAATGGTTGTACAAAGTGAAGAATGTAATCAATGTCACTGAAACATACATGTAGAAATTGTTGAATTGGCAAATATTTAGTTGTGTATATTTTTACCACATTAAAAAGGAAAAACAGAGTCACACAAATACATCTGGTCTCTTCCAAATGGGGTTAAAAAAAAAGAAAGAAAGAAGTTACTACAAACTGGGCAGAATCATGGTGTGTTTTAGGCACAGAGGCAAACACTATCTTTACTCATAGGGCCTTCCCTTAGTTTCATGAAGGGACATTAAAGTCACTGTCAGTCATTTTAGATGCCCACGACCCAACCATGCTCCGTCTTTCTGGGACCTGTTTTGTCAAACCGCATCCTCACACAGGTGGAACCTCCAGGTTTTGCCTACAGAACATTTAGTGATAAGGGCCGGGGGAAACATTGGCACATGTCATTCCTTGAACCTTAGGGCAATAGCTACTGGAGAGGACAAAATCTAGGTTTTCTTTTCTTTGAGGTGCTTGGGAGCAGAAGCAGTAGAAATGAGGTGAGACATTCCACACAGCTGGTCTTTTAGCCTTTTTTTTTTTTTAATCTGAGTTGAGATCAGAACATCAATGGCCAGAGGCAATGAGTGCAGTGAGCAGAGGGGCTGGGTGTGTGATAACTCAGTGTAGGATCTCTGAAGGTAAACGAGCCTGCCAACCTCCTGCAAGGCCTCCTGGAACTGAGGACAGAGAAATAGAAAAGCTGGATTCAATGGGGAGTCCCTAGAGGAAGGAGAGCCTAGCTCAGAAAAGAGATCTGCTCTTGCCTGCTTCCCTGTGGGATTCAAGAGCAGCACAGGCTGAAGATCTGCTCTGGGTGAGTGACACATCTTGTTGTTGTTGTTGTTTGCCGTTGAGTCAGCCCCGACTCATGGGTTTCCGAGGCAGTATCACTACGGAAGTAGGATTGGCCAACCTTCCTTCCGAGGAGTGGGTGGTGGGTTTGAACCACCAGCCTTCTGGTAAGCAGTCAAGTGCCTTAGGCACTATGCCACCAGAGCTCTTAGTCTTTGTTATTCTTATGCAGTGTCAGGTAGATGTGGTAGCTGAGAATCAGAGAGTTTCAGTAACTTGCTAAAGGTTACACAGCAGCTAAGGACTGACTCTAGAATCTTTCTCTAACTGTGTTCTCTCTGTGAAGAATATTTATTCCCCAAGTTTTAGACAGAGACTAATCTGTCTGAAACTGTCTCCCAGAATGAGAAACATCTGGGTATTATTTGATTTACCAACCCACGCATTTTGTGGCCTCATAGAACATTCTGGTGGAAGCAGCTGTTATCCCAAGTTGCTGGCTTGGCTGACCTTCTTCAGTCATGGAAAGTCCCTTCCCCAGATAGATTCTAATTTTCCATTGGCTTCTCCTGCTGCTAAAATAAAACCATGCTAATCCTTCAACCATCCAGAGTAGACAGGTGGTGTTGCCTTCCCAGCATTAGTCAGAGGTGTGAAGAGGTCATTTTTTATGTGGATGGTTTTGCTCCTCTGGCTGCCACATCTCTATTCTGCTCCAGCTGAACTGCTCTCATAAGTCTGTTTGCTCTGCCAAGAGCCTCTGCACTGCGGCTGTTTTCCTCCAGTTACCCTCCTGTTGAATTTGGCTTTTAAAGAGACAAGTGCATGAATACAGTCAAAAGTAACCGTAGGCAATGTAGTTGTTGGGTGCTGTTGAGTTAATTGTAATTCCTAGGGATCCCATATGACAGAGTAGAACTGCCCCACAGGGTTTTCTAGGCTATAATCTTTATGGAAGCAGACTGCCAGGTCTTTCTCCCACAGAGGTGTTGGGTGGGTTCAAACCACCAACCTTTCAGTTAGTAGCTCAGTGCTTAACCATTTGTGTCACCAGGACTCCTTAGGCATTGGAATAAATTCAGATGATTTACGGTTAAGCTACCATGAACCTCTGTCGTTTCTCTTTACCCCAAGTTATGCTACAGATGCAATCATATGACTTTCTTATGTCCCCCAACCACTAGGTTGGCACTGTAGAAAGAATTAGCAACAAGCACATTTTGAATTGATATTTATCAGAGCAGGTTTGTTCAGGGTTTTTAGTCCTGCTGCAGAGAACAAAACTGACCATAATGTGTGACTTTATAGCACAACATAGACATTATCAGAAAATGGTTAGGAATACAGAGGCACAGTCCACACATTTCTACCAGGCCACTGCCTCAGGCCATGACCGTATTTTCCAAACAGGTAATGCATCATACAATTTACTTATTTTTGGCCCCAGGGCTAGTTGAGCAGACTTTGTTGCTCACATTTCCTTAGTGTTTTTATTTATTTATTTTAATTTTTAAAATTTGAAACTATTAAACAAAACCAAAAACCAAACTCACTGCTGTTGAGTTGGTTCTGACTCATAGCGACCCCTCTTTGGGTTTCCAAGGCGGTATCACTAGGGAAGTAGATTGCCCGACCTTCCTTCTGAGGAGTGGCTGGTGGGTTTGAACCGCCAGCCTTCTGGTTAGCAGTCAAACTTAGGCAATATGCCACCAGAGCTCCCTTGAAACTATTAGTGCATTAAAATCCAAAGAATGAGGTCAAGTTAGCCATAGTTAAACAGTCTTGGAATAATTTTTTTAGATGTTCAATTAACTCTATCATTTAATAGTTTGCCTTCATATGGCTCAGTGGTGGCCAATAATTTTCAAGAAATAAAGAAGAATGTGTGACCAATTATAAATTAAAATCACGAAATATTTCTTTGAAAGCATCTCTGTGTTTTTAAAGTCTGGTAAAACTTGCTATTCAAACTTCCAAATTCTATTTCTGAACATTAGGTAAATACTCTAGAGAAAGAAGAATAATCTTTTCAAAAAGAATGCCTGATTCAGGCAAATGCCTGACTGGGGAGAAGTAAGAGGTGACTTCAATTTCACAAGCAAATACATCTATGTGTGTGTATGCATGTATATTTTCTGATTACATCATATTCAAGCAATAAGGGAGGTTGGTAAAAAAGGAAGAAAGCCCTAGAACCCTTGATATGCACAAAATGTCAGATAAGGGGCTCAGTTCTAGAGGTCCCCTAGTGCAATGCTCCTAATTAGAACACACACTTCTTCCCCAAGGGTGATGTGGGCACAGAATCGAGCTATGTGTTCAGTAAGTGCTTTTTCCTTTGCTGAATTTGCTCCAGAATCTCAAGTCTTTATGATGAGGTCTGTTTGCTTGATGCTGATGTCACCGAGCTCTTAGTACTGCTGGCCACTTCTCTTGCTCCTTCTGCTGCTAGAAGTGATATTCCCTTCCACTTTGGAGTTGACCAGAAGTTTGTGGAGGAACAGGGCCTTCCGAAGAAGGTAGAGCCTGAGTTATGAGGTCAACACACAACAGTGAGATGAAGACACTAAGGAATAGGTAAGCACATGAGCTGTTGGTCCCAGTGACCTGTTAGGAGAAGCATGTGACAAAGCCCAACCTTGTGTCCTTCTAATGGCATCAGGAACCTAGATGAAACATACAGTTCTTCTTCTGAGAAGGCCACTATCTGGTAAGGCTGGAACGCCTACCTCAATTAGGTGGGACCTTGGGTCCTTTTCTCTACTACGCTGAGGAATCCAACCCTCCCGGGCTCCTGCTTTGGGATCTAGAGCAGCAGGTGTTGCAGAGGTGCCAAGGGGGCCAAGCCAACGTTTCTCAGCAGGAACTCTGAGCAGCTGGTCCTTCAGGGCATGGAGGCAGCCAGAGGGAAGAGTGCAGCATCGTTATGCCAAACCTGACAAATCTGAGGTGAGGGTGGGAGGGGTCTCAGGTGAGTGAGTTGAGTCTGTTGCAGCTTTTGTCCATCTGTAACTTACAGAACTGCTAAGGAAAGGGGATGGGACGTTTCTTGGCTCTTCGGGACTTGCCTCTGTCCAGTGCCATGGCTTCCCTTCTGCCTCCCCTCTTGCAGGTTTGTATCCCCCCCCCAGCTCCTCTTCTTCCTACGTGAATACAAGCAGATTTGACTCTAAGAGGGTCAGTGCAGCATTTGGCAGTGGTTACTTTGCTGCACTCAGTGTATTTTTCCATGAAACAGCACCAAGAGTGATGGATCCCTCTTCCCGTCTCAATGCTGCAGGCTCAGAAGACTGGGATCTGGTCTCTCCGAACCACATCCAGGTCATCATCCAGAGTTAACAAAACCTGAAACGATAGGAGAGGAGAAATGAAAGGAATGTACAGTCACAGTAAATTCTTATTTGTTGCTAAGATTCACACAGACTGAAAACTGTGTTTCCTCATCTTATGCATCCCTCTGCAAATGCCTTACCTTAACAGGCATTTTTTATAAAAAATATAATTACATAGTTCATTTAATAATGAATTCAGACATTTATTGAGGACCATTATGTGCTATTTGTATACATGCTACAAATATAGTTTAGAATAAGAGACAAGCATCCCTGCCACATGGACTTCAGATGTGAAACAAATATTTAAATATACAGTATGTTAGACAGTTACACAACCATCACAAAATGGACTCAATTATGCCAAAAATCATGAAGATGGCACAAGACTGGGCAACATTTCATTCTGTTATCCGTGAAGTTACAGTGAGAAGGAACCAACTTGTAGGCAACTAACGATAAAAACAACAGATGAAAATATATGCTGAAGATAAAAATTAAATTATGTTGTGAATATAGAAACATGAGGGGAGGGAAATAAAAATATTTTCATAGAGTGGCCAAGGACATCATTACTGAGAAGACATTTGGGTACAGACTTGAAAGAAAGGAGGTTTTGTTGTATTGGATATCGTTATATAAGAAACATCCCTTCTACTCCTCCCCCCTTTCCAACTCCTCCCCCCACCACTCTCTCTACATGGAAACCTTAGCTCCACTTTTGTTGTCTCTGTCTCTCTAACCAAGGTGACTGTCAAAAATAAAACCCAGTAAGGAATGATACTTACACAATTTGGTTAAACTTCCCAAACTGGCCACTAGGGGGAAGCCCTGCTCTACTCTTGAGATTACATGGCCGGTGCAGAAACTGCTTAACTCGAACAGTTTTTGAGAGCCCAGGAGGCCTAGTAATGTTAATTATCACTTGAACCTGTGCACAGGCACCACAGGCTTTTAATATGAGAAAGTCAAAATTAGGATGAAATGCTTCTGAAGGTTATCATCCAGGGTTTTTTACAAATATGTAGCTTATGGGGAGGTTTTGGGCAAAAGATGAGTAACTGCAGGTGATATTTGGAACCGACTGGCTAGAAGACAACAGAAGCCTGGCTGCTTTGCTGAGTCACTCCAGGAATCTGTAAAATATCCAGTGAGAATGGAGAAGAGGAGTGGAATGTGAGTATAGCATGAGAACAAAGAACCAAATGTTACCAGAATTTTAGTGACACCAAAAGAGGTTCATGGGGGAATTCTGGGAATGTGAGTTCCAATACCAATTCAGTCCAAATGTGCTGTGTGACATAGGGAAAATCATTTTGATACTCTGTGTTTTACTATACTGGAAATGAAAATGAAGATCTAACTGAAAGTCCAATTTAAAAAGGAAAAAAGATGGTACATTCACTGAATTACAATGAGGTACTGGAAAGAGAGGATTTCCTAAGTAATGCACACAATTAAGCACTTGGCTGCTAAACAGAAGGTTGGAGGTTTGAGTCCACCCAGGGGTGCCTGGAAGAAAGGCCTGGTGGTCTGTTTCCTAAAATTCAGCCCCTGACAACACCAGGGAGCATGGACAGTTGCACTCTGACACACAGGGGGTAGTGATGAGTTGGAAATGACAAGAAAGCAATTGGTTTCATTTACTGGAAAGAGAAGTTAGAGAGAAATACAAAAGAAGATGTAAGAAAAAGGGCAAGAGAAAGAAAGAGAGCACAGAATATAAAGTGGAATCGACAGGAGATTAAAAACTCACCAAGAATGAGAAAAACAGGGCAGTAGCAGAGAGGAAGTGCCAGATGTCATGGTCATCAAAGAAATCCAGCAGGATGCACTCTTGGTTCTTCTCTCGGGATTCTGCTGGAGTTCCCTGTAGGAAGGTGAGGCAGGCATGGGCAAGAAGTCCCACAAGCCAGCTGTTCAGAGGGATGAGCATATGGGAAGCTACAAACATGCTATTAGACTTCTGGCTCAAAAAGTTAGCTTCCGTGGACATATGTTCACATTAAATCTTGTGCTTGAATGTTCATAGCAGCATGATTCAAAATACCCAAAAAGTAGAAACAACCCAAATGCCCATAAGCTGATGAGTGGATCACTAAAATGCTGTAGTATCTACACAATTGAATATGATTTGGCAATAAAAAGAAATGACATACTGAACACACTAAAACATGAATGAATCTTGAAAACATTAGGCTATGAAAGAAGCCAGATATGAAAGACCACAACTGTATGATTCCACTTATGTGAAATGTCCCGAATAATCAAAATCCACAGGGACAGAAAGTGGTTGTTTAGGACTAGGGTGGAGGGTGGGGAGGGTGAGGGAAGTTTTGAGGGGAAATGGAAAGTGAATGATTTTTGGGATGTTGGAAAATGTTCTAAAATTGATTGTAGTGATGATTGCACAACTGTGTGAAAACACTAAAAAGCAACTAATTGTATATTTTAAAAGGATGAACTGTATGGTATGTGAATTATATTTCAATAAACCTATTATTTTATTATTATTATTTTAAAATTGTGATTTAAGTGAAAGTACAGAGGAAATTGGTTATCCATTAAACAATTCATCCACATTCTGTTTTGTGACAGTCATTGCAGTCCCCACAGTGTGACAGCACTCTTCCCACTTCCTCCCTGTGTTTACCATTTCCCTTTGTCCTTCTTTCTTATCCCTTCCTTCCTTCTGAGTTTTATCCCTGGAAAATGCTATTATTTTTTAAAAGTTAGCTTCCAGAATGTCTAGGGTATTGTAGGTCTTTTTGAAGGCTCACTCTGATTTTATGTTTAGTAGTGGAAGATCTGGAAGTCTGAGTGATTAAGGAGAGGCAGACAGATGAACAAACAGACAGTAAATGCCCTCAGTAACTGAACAGAGCCAGGAGAGCCCAGGAAGTGTGAGAATAAGTCAGGAGAGCTGAGTCCTCCTCCCAGTTCTGTGCCTCAGATCAATCACTAATTTCCTAGGCCTTGGCTTTTCTATCTAGGAAATGGATGGACAAGCATTTATTTCTGGTGTTTGTTTACGGGAGCTCTGGTGGTGTAGTGCCTAAGGCACTTGATTGCTAACCAGAAGGCTGGTGGTTTAAACCCACCAGCCACTCCTTGGAAGGAAGATGGAGCAATCTACTTCCATAGTGATACCGCCTCAGAAACCCAAGGAGGATTCGACTCGAATTCGACTCAATGGCAGTGCATTGTGTTTGTTTTGTTTTGCGTTTGTGTATGGAGTATAATTATGATTAGAAAGGTGGAGAAGATATAGGAAGCAAGATTTTCACACATGTTAAACATCTCTTTGGAACAGAGTCATGATGTAATACATAATGATGATCAAAATTACAGTGTCTGTAGGTGTTACAAAGGAGTTCTAGTGGCATAGTGAGTAATGCATTTGGGTGTTAATCAGAAGGCCAGTGGCTCAAACCCACCAGCTGCTCTGTGGGAGGAAGATGAGCAATCTACTTCTATAAAGATTTACAGTCTTGGAAACCCAGCGGGGGTTGCTATGAGTTGGAATGGACTTGACAGCAGTGGCTTTGATTTTGTGGTAGGGGCTACAGAGTCTTTAGGTGGTCCAAATGGGTTAATGCACTTAGCTGTTAACTGAAAGATGGGAGGTTCAAGTCCACCCAGATGCACCTTGGAAGAAAGACCTGGTGATCTACTTCCAGAAAAATCAACCACTGGAAAGTCTATGGAGTATGAGTCCCTGACACACATGGGGTTTACCATGAGTTGGAATCAACTGGATGGAAACTGGGAAGGCTTACAAATGTATGAAGGGCTACTCTGATAAGGATGACAACATGTTATTTATTGAGCATTTATGTGGATATTAAAAACCATCACTTTCAGAGGGAGCTTTCATTTTAGAGAATGTAAAAAGAAGGTGAACGGCAATAAACACATTAAGCAAGGGAAGTAGAAAGGTCAAAATGGAAAGAGGGGAAGAAAGACAACATATTTGTGGGAAAAAAAGAACTGTCCACTTACCTCCCAACTGCTGAGATTCTGGAAGAAAAAGTACAGGGCAGCAGACCACACCATGGCAGTGGCAATGATGCAGAAGAGCGGGACCGGGAGGACCTTCTCAGAGCTGCGGAGCTGGGGGTGAGAAATGGACACTGGCAAAGCTGACCTGACAGCCTGGTGGAGAGCCCCAGGCACTGCCCAGCTCCCGGCACCCACACTTACCTTCATGATGATGTAGAAGGCCAGGTACAGCAGCAGGTTGCAGATGAAGATGCCCAGCATGTAGGAAGCAAAGTCCCTGGGTCGATATATCAATCCAAAGAGGGCACTGGGAACAAGGGGAGGAAATAGTTTTGTAGCCATCAAGGTAGATTTCTAATGTAATTATTATTATTTTTGGAGCCCCTTTATCATTTTTGTGCATCAAAAACCAAAGAAGGACTTTAACATATTATATGTACCTTTTCATTTATTGCATTGTATTCAGATCATGCATTTCTAATGACTATGCAAAATCCCCATAAGTGGAGGTATCATAAAAACAATCATTTTTCTTCTCTGGTTGAAAGAGGTTTTCCTTTGCTGTTTAGTTTTTCAGTATTATAAAGAACACCTTCAGATGTATTGTACTTTTTGTTTGGATTTAAGATGAACGCCTTGGAATGTTGTTGTTGTTAGCGGTCATCTAGTTGACCCTGACTCATGGTCACCCCATATGTAGAAATATTATTGGAAATAGAATTGTGCCAGTAATTGGCCTGACACACATTACCAAATTTGTGGTATCTGTCCATGGTTTTTAATGAAATCAAAAACTAAAAACCAAACTCACTGCCATGGAGTCGGGCCCGACTCATAGCGACCCCTTCCTTGGGTTTCCGAGGTGGTATCACTATGGAAGTAGATTGCCCAACCTTTCTTCTGAGGAGTGGCTGGTGGGTTTGCCCAGGCTTCTGGTTAGCAGTCAGAAGCTTTAGGCACTATGCCATTTTGTTTGGGGTTTAATCTTCATTTTGTTCCAAATTTCTATTCAGTTATAATTAAAAAGTTTGTTTCTAATAAATATACATCTACCGCTGTTGAGTCAATTCCTATATGCATATAAATAAATATATATAACTATATACTTAAACTTATTGCCATTGAGTTTATTCCAATTTATAGTGACCCTATAGGACAGGATAGAACACCCACGTAAGGTTTCCAAGGCTGTAATCTTCATAGAAGCAGATTGCCACATCTTTCTCCTGTGGAGTGGCTGGTGGGTTTGAACCACCAACTCTTCAGTTAGCAGCTGAGCACTGAAACACTGAGTCACCAGGGATCCATGGGCCAGGAAGCCCACTGTGCCATCTGGTACTGGTCTCCTGGTTCTGCTGCCTCTGCTGCTGCCATTTCTCTGCTGCTGCTTCTCGCCACCTCTTGCTATCTCAGGTGTTACAGCTTTCTGGCTCCTTGTTGTACAAAGTTCTTAGTACAGAGACCCCAGATCCAAAGGACACACTCCACTCCCATATCTTCTTGGTGGGAGTGGCCCCTCTACTGTCTGCTTGAGTCTTTTTCTTTTTATCTCTTGTAAGATAAAAAGTGTGACTCAATCAAAGGCCTGACTTGAGTAAGGGTGGTGACTTGAGTACATTCCACCCTAATCCTACCTCATTAACATAACAAACATAACCTAATCCTCATTAACATAACTTAATCTTTTCTTTTTAACACACAGATGTCAGGAATTACTACACACACAATGGAGGATAATTACATCAGATCACAAATGGAAGACAACCACTCAATTCTGGGACTCATAGCCTAGCCAAGTTGACACATAACCTCAGCCATCATAGGTTCCATACACCTTATTTCCTTGGTACTATCCACTCAGCCACCACTTGTCTGTCAGTTTGTCATACTGTGGTGGCTTGCATGTTACTGTGAGGCTGGAGGCTATGCTACTGGTATTCCAAATACCAGCAGGGTCTTCTATAGTGGACCAGTTTCAGCACAGCTTCCAGACTAAGATTGGGAAGAAGGAAGGAGCCATCCACTTCTCAAAGAATTGGCCAGTGAAAACATTATGAATAACAGTAAAACACTGTCTGATATATTACTGGAAAACTTGATGAATAGCCCTGAAACAATGTCGGAGACAGTGTTGGAAGATGAGACCCTCAGGTCAGAAGGCACTCAAAATACTACTGGAGAAGATCTGCCTCCCCAAAGCAGAGTTGATCTTAATGACGTGGATGGAGTAAAGCTTTTGGGACCTCCATTGCTGATGTGGCACAGCTCAAAATGAGAAAAAACAGCTGCTATCCATTAATAATTGGAACGTGGAATGTAGAAGTATCAATGTAGGAAAATTGGCAGTTGTAAAAAATGAAATGTAACACATAAAGATTGATATCCTAGGTATTAGTGAGCTGAAATGTATTAGTTTTGGCCATTTTGAATCAGTTAAGCATATGGTCTACTATGCTGGGAATGACAACTTGAAGAGGAATGGCATCACATTCATCATCATAAAGAATGTCTCCAGATCTATCCTAAAGTACAATGCTGTCAGTGATAGGATAATATCCATACATCTGCAAGGAAGATCAGTTAATACTACTATTATTCAAATTTACATACCAACCACTAAAGCCAAAGATGAGGAAATTGAAGATTTTTACCAACTTCTGCAGTCTGAAATTGACTGAACATGCAATCAAGAAGTATTGATTATTAATGGTGATAGGAATACGAAAGTTGGAAACAAAAAAGAGTTGGAAAATATGGCCTTGGTGACAGAAATGATGCCGGAGATCACATAATAGAATTTTGCAAGACCAATGACTTATTCATTACAAATACCTTTTTCAACAACATAAATGGTAGCTATACATGTGGACCACACCAGATGGAATACACAGGCATCACATTGAGTACTTCTGTGGAAAGAGGCAATGGAGAAGCTCAATATCTTCAACCACAACAAGGCCAGAAGCTGACTATGGAATAGATCATCGATTGCTTATATGTAAGTTCAAGTTGAAGCTGAAGACAATTAAACCAAGTCCATGCAAGCCAAAATATGACCTTGATTATATCCCAACTGAATTTAGAGATCATATGAATAACTGATTTGATTCACTGAACATCAACCAAAAATCAAAACCAAGCTCACAGCTGTTGAGTTAGATCTGACTCATAATGAGCCCTCCTTGGGTTTCTGAGGTGATATCACTACAGAAGTAGATTGCCTAACCTTCCCCCCGAGGAGTGGCTAGTGAGTTTGAATCACTAGCCTTCTGGTTAGCAGTCAAATGCCTTAGGCACTATGCCACTAGAGCGCTCAGAGAGTACCTAAAGCAAATGGTAGAAATGACAAGATAAAAGAGCTAAATAGAAGTTTTCAAAGAGCAGCTTGAGAAGACAAAGTCAATTATTATAATGAAATGTGCAAAGACCTGGAGTTAAAAAGCCAAAAGGAAAGAACACACTTGGCATTTCTCAAGCTGAAAGAACTGAAGGAAAAATTCAAACCTTGAGTTGCAATATTGAAAGATTCTATGGGCAAAACATTGAATGATGCAGAAAGCATCAGAAGATGGAAGGAATACACAAAGTCACTGTATGAAAAAGAACTGGTCAATGTTCAGCTATTTCAGGAGAGGGATATGATCAAGAACCAATAGTATTGAAGGAAGAAGTCAAAGCATGAGGAACCTTTACATAGACCAGGAGGCTGTCATTTGAACAGAACAAGGGGATACTGCATGGTTTAAAATCAGGAAGGGTATGCGTCAGAGTTGTATCCTTTCACCATACTTATTCAATCTGTATGCTGAGCAAATAATACAAGAAGTTGGTCTACATGAAGAAGAATGCAGCATCAGGATTGGAGGAAGACTCATTAATAATCTGTGATATGCAGATGACACAACCTTGCTTGCTGAAAGTGAAGATGACATGAAGCACTTACTGATAAAGATCAAAGACTACAGCCTTCAGTATGGATTACACTTCAACATAAAGAAAATGAAAATCCTCACAACTGACCAATAAGCAGCATCATGATAAATGGTGAAAAGATTGAAGTTGTCAAAGATTCCATATTACTAGGATCCACAATCAACACCAATAGAAGCAGTAGTCAAGAAATCAGACATCGTATTACACTGGGCAAATATGTTGCAAAAGACCTCTTTCAAGTGCTGAAGAGCAAAGATGTCTCTTTGAAGATGAAGGTGCGCCTAACCCAGGCCATTGTATTTTCAATCATCTCATATGTATGTGAGAGCTGGACAATGAATAAAGAAGACTGAAGAAGAGTTGATGCTTTTGAGTTGTGGTGTTGGCAAAGTATACTAAAAGTACCATGGGCTGCCAGAAGAATAAACAAATTTGTCCTGGAAGAAGTACAGGCAGAATGCTCCTTGGAAGCAAGAATGGTCAGGCTTTGTCTCACCTACTTTGGTCATGTTGTCAGAAGGGACCATTCCCTGGAGAAGGATATCATGCTTGGTAAAGTGAGGGTCAGCAAAAAAGGGGAGATCCTTAACAAGATGGATTGATACAGTGGTTGCAATGATGGGCTCAGGTATAGCAAGGATTGTGAGGATGGTACATGACCCGGCAGTGTTTCGTTCTGTTGTACATAGGGCCACTATGAGTCAGAGCTGACTCGATGGCACCTAACAATAACAGCAAATCATTGTGCAGGAGTCACAAGGACTATGGCTAGAAGGGCCATATTAAGTGATTCACTACACTGCACATATATATACACATATATGGTTGGGTTTTTGTCCTCTGCATTCTGATTCACTCAATTTTGGGTCTGATTTCTAATTCTGCATCAGTGATCATTGTTTTATTATAGTTTTATAATATGCTTTGTTATCCAATTAAGCTAGCCTCCACTATCCAATACAGTCACTACATATGACTATTTAACTTAAGTAAAATTTAAAATTCAGTTCCTCAGTCATACTAGCCACATTTCAAGTGCTTAATAGCCACACGTGGTTAACAGCTACCATAACGGACAGTGCAGTGTAGAACATTTATATCATTGCAGAACTACTGAACAGTGCTGAACCAGTCAGCAACCCCCAGCTGCCTTCTTTCTATTAATCTTCTATTCCAGAGAGTTTGGGAATTTTTGCCTACATAGGCAAATAAGATTTAGAATAATTTTGCTAAGCTTCCCTCCATCAATCCTATTAACTTCAATTCTAATTCTAAATTTATACATGAACTTGAGAACTGATGGCTATACAATAGTTAATCTTCCCATCTAGGGCACAACACATCTCTTTAGTTAGTTAGTTTTCCCTTTATATC